ACGGCCCCGAGTAAAGGCACAAATCTCCGCCGCCATTGTCACCTGTTCCTCTAATCATTTTCAGCTCGTCGCGCCACAATGGAGGAGGGTGATAACGATAACGAGGTGAAGCTAATACAGAGCGAGGCCCGTGAACGTGTTCCCTCGTTCACACACACACACACACACACACCTTTTCTTCTATGCAGAAATCCAGCTGCTGACACACACACACACACTTTCGTTTTTCTACACTTTCATTCGAATTCCAGCCACCAAGTTTCCTCGTGAAACCAATTAGAGGCTAAAGAAAAACTTATTTATCTGCTTTGTTTTCACAGAACAGAAGCTTTAAACTGGACTCAAGATCACAAACTCGGATTTAGAGGAGGAGAGCCGGAGATCTCGTTCTGATGAAGCCGGCAATGCGGTCCAAGCTCTGACACGGGCCATAAAGGGACAGCCTGTATCAAAGGGCCTGGTGCACCATACTCCTGAAGTTCCCCCCAAAGAGCATCCCAAGGGATGCGGTCAAAAGTATGTCCAAATCCACCAAACATGTGTAGATTGGTTGGGTAAACTCCCACGCACCATCCAGGACCTCCCTAAGAGTGTAGAGCTGGTCCAGTGTTGCTCCTCCTGAATCCCAGGTTCAATAATCTGTCAGACGCTCCTCTCCAGAACCCCTGAATAGACTTTATCAGCGAGGTTCAGGAGTGTGAGCCCCCTCTTGATCTTTTCTTACGCAGTTTAGTGAAAATTTGTTTTTTCAATTGACATTTTTCAGCTAATATCTCCCCTGTAGTTGAATCACATCCTGCTGCCCCCCTTTTACAATAGGTGGACCACCATCTTGGTCTGCCAATCCTGTGGAACTGCCTAGGATGTCTACGCGATAGTGGAGAGCCGCGTCAGCCAACAAAACCCTACAACATCCAGAGCCTTAAGGAACTCTGGACGGATCTCACCCACCTCCAACCCAAAGTCCACGGACTCTGCTTCTTCACTGGAAGACGTTTCGGTGTGACTGAAGAGGTCTTCAAGGTATTCCGCCTACTGATCCACAACGCCCCAGTTAGAGGTCAGCAGCACACCGTCCCCACTATAAACAGTGTTGGTAGTGCACTACTTTCCGCGCCTGAGGTACCGGATGGTGGACAAGAATCTCTTCGAATCCAAACGGAAGTCTTGCTCCATGGTCTCACCAAACTCCTCCCACGCCCGGGTTTTAGCCTCTGTGACCCCCTGGGCTGCGTTCCGCTTGGCCTGCTGGTAACTATCAGCTGCCTCTGGAGTCCCACAGGCCAAAAATGTCCCAAAAGGATGCTTTCTTCAGCTTGACAGCATCCATAACTGTTGGTGTCCACCAGCAGGTTCAGAGATTGCCACCACGACAGGCATCGATGACCCTGCGGCAGCAGCTCCGGTCAGCCGCCTCAGCGATGGAAGCAATAAGGTATCCTGGTGCCAAGAGCACATATGGACACCTTCATGTCTGAACATGGTGTTCATTATGGACAATCCACGACGAGGACAGAAGTCCAACAACAAAGCACCGCTCAAATTCAGATCAGGGGGGCCGTTCCTCTCCACCACACCTCTCCAGGTCTCACTGTCATTGCCCACGTGAGCGCTAAAGTCCCCCAGCAGAACAAGGGAGCGCTTTCCAGCACCCCCTCCCAGGACCCCTTAAAGGTTGGGTAGTCTGAACTGTAGTGTGGTGCATAAACACAGACCACAGCCAGGACCCGTGCCCCCACACAAGGGAGGCTACCCTCTCATTCACCGGGGTAAACCCCTACATACAGGCACCAAGATGGGGGGCAACTAGTATGCCCACCCCTGCTCTGCGCCCCTGTATGGGGGCAACTCCAGAGTGGTAGCGTGTCCAGCCCCTCTCGTACTATCTTTAAGTTTCTGCTGTCATAGTTGAACTGGTTTTGATAATTAATTTCTTATTCAAAAGGTTTTTTGTCTCCATGATGCTTTTTGGTCGTTCTTTAACATAAAGACTCAGAAGTTTGATGCTCAGTCAGAAACCTATTAATCTGTTTGTAATCTGCGATTAATCTGTGAGCTAACCGACCTGACACCTAAACGTGGACTAAAACCACACCTTTTGTTGTAATAAGAATCATAATGTTCTGATTTTAAGTTTTAAGCATTTATATTGTTGTTGCTCTTATTGCTGTTTTTACCGGGTTGATTGGGTGGTTGGTTGGTTGGTTGGTTGGCTGGCTGGTTGGTTGCAACATTGACCATCACCTTGGTTGGTTGGTTGGTTGGTTGGTTGGTTGGTTGGTTGGCTGGTTGGTTGGTTGGTTGCTTGGTTGGTTCGTTGTTTGTTTGGTTGGTTGGTTGCAACATTGAACATCACTGACCACTATTTAAATACCGTAAATACACCCTGGCATCTTTTACCACTTCTATCATACCAGATGAACGTGTACTTAATAAATTCTAGTTCTTGGAGATTTTCTCACCCATACCAAAGTGTGTGTGTGTGTGTGTGTGTGTGTGTGTGTATGTATGTGTGTATGTGTGTGTGTGTGTGTGTATGTGTGTGTGTGTGTGTGTGTGTGTGTGTGTGTGTGTGTGTGTGTGTGTGTGTGTGTGTGTGTGTGTGTGTGTGTGTGTGTGTTGGGGGTTTGAGGTCGAGATGAGACGTTAGCTCCTCTCTGACTGCGTTTATCAGCGTTTGGCATCACTGTAATTTCGGTGTTCAGATGCAATCGCTCCTTACTTCCCTCAGGAGTAAACAATAACAAGCTCAAATACAATAGACAAACAAGGTCTGCAGGACATGAATGCACACACACACACACACACACACACACACACACACACACACACAATAACAAACCACATAAATATCCATTTTCCAGATGTACCTGTTGCCATGTACCAAGTTATTCTGAAACCACATTTGAGCAAACTGACTGAACTCGGATCTAATATTAAATCATATTATAAATAACCAGTTGCTAATAAAAATGTTGTAATATAATATAGATTAATCCAGAATATGATCAAATCAAACTTGAGTTTCAAGAGAATTGAATGTTTTTCCTCTCCAAAGGTTTCAGATTTTTTACCAGATGCTGCCACCTGGTGGATATTTAAAGAACAGCAACTTGTTAATTAAATGTTAGCAGCCTAAACTTAATGACCACTGACACTTTCAGCTTAAACAAGTGGTCAACCCAGTTCTTGGTAGTTAAAACAAATAAAAACTAAAATACATCATTACACTATAGACGTTTATGATTATTACTTCACATTTTTACAGCAAAACATTATTTTGCTGCTTTATTTGTAAATATTTGGCAAATGATTGGTGGCCAATCAGAAAAACTAAAATCCTATTTTTTTCTGTGTTCCTGAAAGCATCATTATCAAGCGGAAATAAAACAGCCAATGTTTTTATGGTCAGTGAACACACCATTGCTGGATGCTGATTCCTCCAGCTCTTTTTTATGTCCAGAGCCTTAATTTCTTCATTAATCAGGGATTTTAGGGTTACGCTGTTGAAGGTTCGCAGTCATTCAAATGAAGACAACTGGACTTCTTGCAGGTATTGGCCTGTTGGTTTTCTGTGTCCTGCTCTACTCTCTCCGGCCCTGAACACCAGGCCGTGAAGGACTACGTGGACTTTGCCCTTATGGCCGGCCTCATCCGTCCTTCTACCTCTCCTGCAGGAGCGGGGTTCTTCTATGTCACAAAGGACTAGACCCTACGCCCCTGCATAGACTATCGAGGACTCAACGATATCACCGTCAAGAATGGATGTCCCCTCCCGGCGATGTCAACTGCATTTGAAATGTAACAGGGTGCTAAGATTTTCACTAAACTTGATCTGAGAAATGCTTACCACCTGGTTAGAATATGGGAGGGGGGTGAGTGCAAGACTGCCTTCAATACACCTACTGGACATTATTAATACTAATGTGACAGTGTGAGTGTCCTGTCACAATGTCCCGATTGATCATGCGCCCTGGCTACTTGGCCAAGGGGATGTCCCTTTGGCTGACTGGTTAGAGCGTATGACTCTCACCCGGGAGTTAGTTATGCCCTTTGGTCTTGCTGTGTTTCAGGCCCTAATTAACACTCTGTGACATATTGAACGAGTTTGCATTTGTTCAGTCGGATGACATCCTTGTGTTTTCTCCTGATGAGCAGACCCAAGTGCATGTTCACCGGGTACTCCATCGTCTCCGCCACCATCAGCTCTTTGTTTAGGCTGAGAAGTGTAAATTTCATGCCTTTTCTTGGTCTCGTGGTGAGGCAGGGCAGAACCCAAATGCTAAGGTAGCAGCTATCAAATATTGGTCAGTAGTACCTTCCTCCAGGAGAGATGTGAAGCAGTTCCTTGGCTTCACCAACTTTTACAGGATGTTCATTCGAGGCTTCAGCACCGTCGCAGCTCCTCTGCGTTCCCTGACCTCACCAGCTTCCAGGTTTGTGTGGTCCCCCTAAAGCTTGGTTTATGCTTGACGCATTTACTTTCCGCTTGGTGATGCGGCTCGCGGATGGAACGCGCTTCACAACTTGCAGCGTTTATGGTTCATGCGGCTTGTCTCTGCGGTGAGCCAATATTCTCCCAAACTGTAGGGGGCAGCATGGAGCTCTATGGCATGCATCCAACACCACACCATAGTAGAAGTAAAAATTACTGTTGTTTACAACATGGCATTCCAGCATTTTTTAACAGCGTCCTCGTCTTTTCCGACAGTGCGAGCTATTTCTCTCCAAGAATTATTAACAACATGTTGATCACGGTGATCTTTGAGAGCTGAATCATACAAATGTCTGTATTTACGAACCTCTGCCATACTAGTTCTTGCCCATCCGTCATGTTTTTCCACGTTCGACCGTCGACGTGGTTAGAAAATTTCTTAGGTACGCGGTGTGGAAAGTTTGGGCCGTGCGGAAGCGCGGTGGAGGGGCGTGGTTGTTAAAATGACGCAATTTTGCCGCGCGGAGCTGTGCGAACCTTGTGGACGCGTCACGCATAAACCAACCTTAAGCGGATGCAGCATTTCGTGAATTGAAAGACTGCTTTGTTTCTGCACCAATCCTCACTATGCCAGATCACAGTCTTCAGTTCGTGGTGGAGGTGGATGCTTCGGCCATGGGGGTTGGGCGAAGTCCTCTCGAACGGTCGGCCAAGGACGGCGATATCCATCTCTGTGCCTGCTTGTCCCATAAACTGTCGCCTGCAGAGAGGAAGTACAATGTAGGTTACTGAGAGCTACTCACCATCAAAATGGCACTGGAGAAGTTACGACACTGGTTTGAGGGCTCTCAGTATCCATTTGTGGTGTGGACTGACCACTAGAACCTTGAATACTTTAGGAGTGCCAAGAGGCCCAGCCCATGCCGAGCCAGATGGGCCCTGTTCTTTGTACTTTTTAACTTTACTGTCTCCTATCATCTATGGTCCAAGAAGCAGAAACCCTCTCCCAGTTGGATGAACCCGCCTGGCTGGCTCCGGAACTGCCCACATGTCCTCCCTTTCTCCTGTGTCATTGGAGCCATAACCTGGGGATTGGAGGTGAGACAGGCCACCGCCGGAACCCAACCCCCAGTCAGTTGTACTCAAGGCCTTCTTTTTGTTCTGCCTGACCACCACTCAGAGGTCATCCACTGGGCTCATGCCTCTGGTTTTGCTTGCCACCCTGGGGTACAAAGAACTCTCTTCAGAATAATTCCCTCCACACTCACCACCAAACTGGAGCACCTGGGACTGAGCTCATCTATGTGCCAGTGGATCTCCAACTTCTTAACTGGCAGACCACAGGCAGTAAGGATGGGCGGACATGTCTCAGCCCCCACCACTCTCAGCACTGGAGCCCCCCAGGGGTGTGTTCTAAGCCCCCTGCTGTACTCTTTGTACACATACGACTGTGTGGCCAGTACCAGCTCCACCACCATCATTAAGTTTGCTGACGATACCGTCGTGGTGGGCCTGATCTCTGACAACAACGAGGCGGCCTACTTAAAGGAGGTCACGAATCTGGAGACCTGGTGCAAGAGGAACAACCTCCTTATAAACGTCAGCAAAACGAAGGAGTTGATAGTGGACTTCAGCACAAAGCAGGAGAGGAACTACCAGATCCCCGTCATCAACGAGTGCCCAGTGGAGAGAGTGAGCAGCTTCAAATACCTCGGTGTTCACATCACGCAGGACCTGTCATGGTCCTGTCACATCAACACCGTGGTGAAAAAGGCCCGGCAGCGTCTCTACTACCTCAGACGCTTGAGAGACTTCCGACTGCCCCCCAGGGTGCTCAGGAACTTCTACTCGTGCACCATAGAGAGCATCCTGACGGGGAACATCATAACCTGGTTCGGGAACAGCACCATGCAGGACAGACAAGCTCTACAGAGGGTTATTCGATCAGCTGAGCGCACCATCCGCTCCGAGCTCCCTGACCTGCACTCGATCTACAGCAGGCGGTGCTGGACCAAGGCCAGGAAGATCGTGAAGGACCTCAGCCATCCAAATAACAGACTGTTCGCTCTGTTGAGGTCAGGGAAGCGATTCCGCTCCCTGAAGACCAACACAGAGAGGCTGAGGAGGAGTTTCTTCCCGCAGGCGATACGATCTTTAAACCACACCACCACATAGTAAGTGCACACACATATGGTTCTCACACACACCGGACAGTCCGGACTTTGCTTAAGCACGGCTGCACTACAAAATCACTAAAATGTGGTAAGCACAACTCTGGACATTCTCAGCAGACCTGAGGCTTTCTCACCTCAAGGGGGACAATCTAAGAAAACATTTTACAAATGAGCTCAAGTTCAGATGCTTGTGTGAAAACCGTGTTTTCTTTCACCTCAAATCGACTTTTTTTTGTTGATAAACTGTATGAGTGTCTAATTTCTCTGTAGACACGTTCAGTCAATAATTTGGCACTTTAATCTTAGGCCTAGTCCACACGTAGCCGGGTTTTTTAAAAACGAATATCCGCCCCTCCAAAAACTTGCATCCACACCACCGCGTTTTAAAAATAAACTCTGTCCACACGTACCCGGATAAATACGTTGTTAAGGACATGCCAGACCTGTAGGCGGCAGCACTTCCCCCGTTCTTAACCTCGTCCTTCGTCTGTGGTCTTCCGCAAGGAGCAGTAATTCCGCTTGCAAAAACAAACAAGCAGAAAGCGCTTGGACAATTGATGGATCGGGTAGTGACAGAGCGCAGCTCTGAGGGCTTCCATGATGCCGGCTAGTGTAAACACAGGTCGCACACGTGATGTCAGCATTTTTTTGTCGCGGAAAGTGACGTTGCGGACCTTAAAACTCCGGTTTTGTCCGTCCACACGCAGACACCCAAAACGGAGAAAACACATTTCTTCACTTTGGCCAGTTTTTAAAAAGATCCGTTTTCGTGTGAAAAAACTCCGTTTTCGTGTGGATGACAGACCAAAACGTAGAAAAATATCTACGTTTTGGCAGATCCCCGGCTAAGTGTGGACAGGACCTCAGTTAACATTTAAATAATCTGCCTAAAACTCAGCGATGCACCGTCGTCAGGCAAAAACTCAGCACTGCAATTGAATTTAAATCTGCCATCGCTATTGGCTAAGAGGTACACTATGATGTTAGATGGTACATTATGATGTCACAATGTCGTGAGTGTATTTGTTAGTGGCTCCGCCCTCTCGGTCCGCTAGGCAACAGCATTTGTTGCATTTTTCAAACAGGAAGTGGGAGTGGAGTAAGAATCTGGCAGGGGGTGACTTGCTCTTTAAACAAGAAGGGCTAACTCTCAACTTGTCAAAATAAAAGCAAAGATCCCAAATTGGACATAAAGTAAAACATTTATCTCAAACTGAGTTCAGAGGAAAATAGTTAAAGACAAGAATAAGTGAAGTTTCTGTGTAAGATGTTTATTCTCTTTATACATTTTACAAATAGAAGCACAAACTTTCATGAGACTGGACATCAGCGTGTCTGAAGTACTTTGAAGAGCTCCATGTTTATCTGCAAAAGAAGAGCACATGAAAAAAATCATCAAACCTTCTGGAGTTTGTGTTAAAGCTGCAGCGGGAAGCTAAACGGGTCTAGAGTCTGCTGATTTAGGACGGATCTCTAAAGCTACAAGGAGCTAAGAGCAATGCTGACGTTAGATCCTAGGTTACCTCCTCCGTTAGGACGCACATCAGTCCCTGAGTTCAGCAGGAAGGAGGAGCAGAAGGAGTCAGAATGTGACGAGTTTCAACATTTAAAGATATTTAAAACCAAGAAGGGACATTTATGGGCTCGACACACGGGAGGCGACATCTCCTCCATTCATTTTCAATGAGACATGCGCGACATAGCGATAATCGCGGGTCTCTCTCCTACTAAGCGAAACGCAAAAAACGTGCGTGTGAAATTTTGCACTCGTGCACGTGTCGTGCACAGGCGACCCAGCGACGCGATCCCAGAAAGTTGAAACATTTTCAACTTTTCATCGCTGTCGCTCGGACGAGGACCAATCAACGGAGGTTTCATTCGCTGACCAATGAGCGGACAGGATGCTCCGTACACCTCCGAGCAAACATGGAGGAGAAGTTGATTATTATTATGTTTTATAGTAAAAAGTAAGATTTCACATAACTCTAGCAGCACCTTGTGAAACATCATATCTACCACTTTATTAACTCTGAACCGCTTAAATAACCTTAATTCCCTCCAACCTGACACAGCCAATCAAAACAACGGAAGTTTCAATTTCGCCATGGAACAGAACGCGTAGGCGGCTTTGCCGCTGCCGCGGGTCGCCTCCCGTGTGTCAGGTAATAAAAGCGACAGCGACAAATTTCGCTGATCGCGGTCGTTTGTCGCCTCCCGTGAGTCGAGCCCATTAGGCAGGACTGAAAAGTGTTTGAGGCGTCAGAAAGTCAGCGGGAACAGAAGGAGAATCCTAGTGAGAGGCTGAGTCAGAGAACAACACCAGTGAAGAGATGGGAGAGGACATTAATGGCACGGTGAGAACTTACAGGGCAGCAGCTCCAGAGATGATCTCGATCAGCTCCTTGGTGATGACGGCCTGTCGGGTCCGGTTGAAGGTGAGGGTCAGCTTGTCAATCATCTCAGCTGGAATCAGATCACAGCACAACTTCTGATTAATAAAGACAAAATCTGAATGCTTCTGCTGAACCTGAGCAAAATTAAAACATTGATTTATTTATTCATTCATTCATTTTCCGCCGCTTATCCAGAGTCGGGCTGTTGGGACAGCAGGGAGGCCCAGACTTCCCTCTCCCCAGCCACTTGGGCCAGCTCTTCCGGGGGGAAACCCAAGTTGTTCCCTGGCCAACCGAGAGACATAGTCCCTCCTGCGTGTCCTGGGTCTACCTTTAGGTCTCCCCCTGGTTGGCCGTGCCCGGAAAGCCTCACCAGGGAGGTGTCCAGCAGGCATCCTGACTAGATTTGAGTGTTTTTTGTCCACCAGTGAACCCCAACGTCAATACCTGGCGATATTTTTCACCCCAGGAAAACACATCCCACAGAATGCTCCTGATTCCGCCTAAAAGCTCTGTGTCAGACATCCGAGGTAAAGGAAACAACATTTAGCCAGCCTCCTCTTCTCCAGGCTGCTGATGAGCCCAGCTGAGCCGAGTCCATCTAATGACTATCTGGGACAAAGGGGCTGTGCCATCAGTAGTCTAGGAGGCACCGGTGCAGGGGTCCTGCTGTCCTCACGTAGGCCACATCACAAAACTCGCCCTGCACTCTTCAGCAAAGTGCACGTGGAGAAAGTGCACGTAAGCCGTCGAGTGCGTGGTACACTAGTGAGCGGATAATTGCCGAATTGAGATGGGGAGCATTGCATCATCAATAGCAACGCATTGCGGGATGCTGGTCGCTGTGATACTTTAAAAAAAAACTATATTTACAACTTTAAACAAAAAAAACAACCAAACAGTTATTATAGCGGCTTCGTCTAAAACATTCAGGACATCAACTACCGTGTTTTCCGGACTATAACAGGCCATTCCCATAAAACCACCTCATTTGTTTTTCCTAAAATATCTTTAAATAAAATATTAAATAAAAATGTACTGTTTAGACCTGCAGTGGTCGGGGTCACTGATCCAGAGAAGGGTCTGCAACCTGTGGTTCTAGGGCCATTTGTGACCCTGAGCTAAAACTGGACATACTTCTGTTTATATTTAGTTTGAGGGTTATGGTGTAAGCAGGGTTCCCCCAGTGCTTTATAAGCCTGGCCACCCGCCAGGCTAAGCGTCACGCCCGCCCCCCTCCCCGACCCTACCGTGTCCGCTGACATGAACAGCGCAACGAAACTAGAGCCCTCCCATCAGCTGATACTGGTGAGAAACAGCAGCGGACCGTGTGCAAACCCCCCACCCCCGCTCTCATGGAGGAGCGCTGCGGGACGGAACCCCCCCCCCCTGACGGCCGAATCCACCAGGCTTAACTCATTTTCTGGGGGAAACCGTGTGTAACATGTTCTTTTTGCACAAACACAAAAATATCGAATATTATGAAATGTAAATAGAGACTGGATTAGGCGGAATTTCAGAATTCCTGTTTAACTCATTCGCTGCCAGCGTTTCTCAGCGTTTTTACTGTTTTTTAAGAGTGACAGAACGTTGCGCGCTAGCATGATGTCGACGCCAAAACAACCAAAACAAAGCGGAGACTCACCTCTTACATCAGGAAGAATCCGCGCGTTTCGAGCGTTATCCGTTCTTTCATAATCCGTTGTTGGATTGTGATCGGCAGAAGCTTTTCCGGTTCGCGCCTCATTTTTATTTACAGCAGCGGCCCAAAACGATCTCCTAACACGTGGATGTTCTGCTTCCTGATCATGTGACGTGTGACGTACGCGGATGAAGATCGGCTTTAGAGCTGAGATGTTTGTTCTCATGGTGCGGGGGCTCGTCCGACGCCCACGCAGTAAAAACATGCAAATTTTTAGTCGTCATTGGCGGTGAACGAGTTAACGTCATTTATTCACTAGATAAGATGCTGAACTAACACGAGCTGCGTGGACTCCATATTTGAGAAGAAGAAGAAAATATCATTTCTATAGCGCCTCTCAAGATAAAAATCACGAGGCGCTTCACAAAAACAAAAAAATGTAAAAATATAAAAAATAATTTAGAAAATGGTTAAAAATATATTTTAAATTAGCAAAAAATAGACAATTGTGATTAAAAATGTTAAGAAAGAGAGAGTGAACAGGAAAGAGGGAAATCAGTGGATCCTGAGGAAGGTGGAATAGGTGGGGAGAGCAGAATAAAGAGAGAGAGGTGAAGAAGGTCATACAAAAGCCAGCTTGAACAAGTGAGTCTTCAGCTGCTTTTTGAAGGAGACCACTGAGTCCACTGATCTCAGGCTCAGGGGGAGAGAGGTCCAGAGTCTGGGGGCCACAGCAGCAGATGATCTGTCACCTTTGACCTTTAGCCTGGTGCTGCACAACCAGTAGGCTTTGGTCACTGGACCTCAGGGACCTGCTGGGGGTGTAGGGACTGAGAAGATCACCAATGTAAGATGGTGCTTGTCCATGTAAGGCCCTATAGACCAGAACCAGGATGTTGAAATGAACCCTGAAGTTGACTGGCAGCCAGTGAAGCTGGAGGAGAAGCGGGGTGATGTGGGTGTGTTTGGAGGACTTGGTCAGAAGCCGAGCACTAAAGGCCTCGTCACCTCTGACTTCTACAAACGTCTGCTGTGTGTCTGGAGGTCTTACAGGCGTTCTTGCTGGCGCTGTCCATCGCAGTCATCCTGGCGCTCTGCTCACTGGTGGAGGACTCCTTCAGAGCCAGGTAGATGACGTTGACCAGAGCAAACTCCTGGTAATTCCTCAGCACATCAGCATCGATGTCATCATAGACGCCCATGTTCTCTGTGAGGAAGGGAGACACACGATGAGCATCTGTGGAAGTGATGGCTCCGTTGTGTCAGATCACTAAAACAAGAGTTTCTACCCGAGGAGGAGACGGTGTCGTTGGAGAACAACGGCTTCTGGTCCGTCTTATAGGAGATCACAGACCTGCGAGAAGGGAGATGTTTGAGTCATCGCTAACAAATCTAATTATTGCTTTTCTGACTCCCTTTATGTCCCTGCAGATACAAACGTCACCTCACCTGAATCTGTTGAAGATGACAGAGCCCTGATCGAACTCGTAACCAGAGGTGAGCAGCTCGGTGGCAATGACCGACGCATCACTAAAATTTGGTGGCTTGCGGCCGACCTCCTTGCAGTTCAGCAAGATGTGTTTTCCGTGAGTTCTGATTAGGAGGAAGGCATTAAAACGGCCGAGTTAGGTCTACATTCAGACAAATGTTGATAACTCAACAAAGCTGATTAAATATCAAAAGCTACTAAATGTGCTAAAATACTTTTGGTATGAAAAGCAAGAGTTGAAACTGCTCGTACCTGTGCAGAAGGCCTCTCAGCTTGTCTCCAACATTGATCACCATCACCTCCTTGCCAGAGCCGGTCAGGTTAGCGATCTCATTTTTGATGGTCTTGGCCACACCAGAGTGGATGGCGCCACAGAGTCCACGGTCAGAGGTCACGCCAACAATCAGATGCTTAGCCACCTTATCCTCGGGTGCCTTGATGTCGGCCTTCTCGTACAGAGCTGGAACGCAAAGGCAAACATGGAGCCTTGAGTCTCAGCGAACAACTCAACCCCGATTCAATTTCACTCGAAGCTCAAATGAAGACGTACCCAGAGCGCCAGTGCCGTAGACGCGTGCGGGTTTCAGCTGCTTCTCAGCACGAGCGTACTTGGCAGCGGCCACCATCTTCATGGACTTCGTGATCTTCTGGATGTTCTTGATGGACTTCAACCGAATGGTGACTAAAGAAAATGAGGAAGGAGTTTACAGCAGAAAAGTCTAAAGCTGCAGTTGGTGCATCTCTGCTCGACATAATGGTCTCCAACCAATAAAATAACTCCTAGTTCCGCAGATTTAAACTAATTATCGGATCTGACAACATACTAGAGCTGAAACAACTAATCGATTTAATCGATTATAATCGATTATTAAAATAGTTAACAACTTTTTTTAGTCATCGATTAGTTGTTTAATAATCATATTTTACCGCATAAAGTCTATTTTTTACCACAATCTGACATCGGTTACAATCTGTTAAATTTGCCGCCAGTGTGTGGCAGTAATGAGCCACTGATCTACCAGTGGGGCCGTAGAAGAAGAAATTAGCCAATAAGTGCCCTCAGTTTTCATGACGTATCACGTTACTGACGCGCATCTTGCTGTGAGAGATGGCGGAACAAGAAGAAATACGGAAGAAAAATAGAAGCGACAAAACAAGAGAAACCCTGGACAAAAACCTCACGAGTATGGGAGCACTTCACTAGATGCCTTGAAAAGACCGGTGACCTGCAAAATATGCAAAAACCATGGCACGACGGAAGCACGACGTCCCTAAGTGAACATTTGAGATGAAAACATGAGGGCTGATGCAGCAGAGGAAAGTCCGGTAAGTAACAGAAAATAAACAAGCTAACGCAGATCACATTTGGGACTTAGTGTTAGCTGAGTTCGTTATAGTGGATGTTAAACATGTTTGTTTTTTTTGCCGCGTCAGTTTACGGTGTTCTACTTCTGATTGACTAGATGCAATCGTGAATCTCCTCCGTGTTGTGAATCATGCGCTTGCCAAATTTAGCACGTCTATTTATAAGAATGTTCTCGTTAAGAGAAAAACGGCACAAACCCATAACTGTGTTCCTCATTCAAAAAAGGACAACTCCGCGGAGAAAAATATACAGACGAGCTGTGTCCAGGTGAATATAACGCGGCATAGTTGTACGCTTTCAATTTTTAAATACAGGAGAAATTCAGAAAGTCCTTTTTTTAACTATTAAAAGGCTGTTTTACTATCTAACGCTGTAAAACGCCTCACAACACATTTTTGTCAAAATAAATGATCACTGTATATTGTTAATTAATTCAAATAATGTAATATTGATTTAGTGTTGTAGTGTGTGTGCTGCTTTATTTTATATGTGTACTTAATTCAGTTTATTTGTGTTTCTTATGCAGAAAAAACCAAGCAACGATGGACAACTACATGGGGAACAAGACACTCACCCCCAGCAATGCATACCACTTACAAACTCTATTCCAGATTCTACATTATTTTTTATGGAATTTACCTCTTATATTTTGATGCCAAAAAATTATTCTGGACTGATATTTTGCACTGTTTAGCTCATTTTACACTGCTGACTGTGGTCATGTGCAATAAAATAGATTGCAGTCAACTGCACAATTCTCTTATGTTTTTCTTTTTCTTAACTGAAATGTATTCATCACTTGTATAGGTTAAATAGCTAAACAATAACAAACCGATTAATCGATTAATCGAAAAAATAATCGACAGATTAATCGATTATGAAAATAATCGTTAGTTGCAGCCCTACAACATACCTCCATTATTTTTATTATGATTCTACAGCATAGGGTCTAAGAATTTCTCCAAACTCAATCCTGATGGGAGAACCTTGTTTTGCACACTCACTCCGTGACTGGACCTGCAGGTTCTGGTAGCAGCTCTTCTCTGCTTTTATAGCAGCCGTATCTGACCAGCTTTTGCTAATGTGGAAAATCAGTTGATGCCTGCGTGCATTCTTAAATAATTCCTGCATGTGAAAACGACTTTTGATTTAGTTCTGTTCCTTGATAGGCCCGTGCATTTTAATTGACATCTGCATTAATTGTAGTGTAATAAAAATAAAATATCCCATAATTTATATTCACATTAATATACACTGATTTATGCATGTAAAAATAAAAAGGAGCTGTATCATAAATCATAGAACCCCTAAAATTAATATTTGACACATTTATGTTTAATTCTTTTTTTAAATCCTTTGTAAATATACTAATCTGAGCTCCCAATATGCATAAAATCAAGTGTGAACGTCTTACTAACTCGACTTGAACCCACTATTTTGATAAAACCTATTAAAACCTGTGTTGTACAAACACACCTTAGATTCTGCTCAGGTTACAGTCTTAATTTAAACAACAATATGATGTGAGTGTGAAGTATTCATCAGTACTTACTGTCCTTCAAGGTAGCCATGTTCCTGACCTGCCCACTGTAAACAACAATAATGCATGTGAGCAGACGCTGACGGGTTAACAACATGGTAAAAGGTCATTAACAAGTCTAGGGTTATGACCCGATGCTAACTGCTGTTAATTAAACACGATTTAACATTAAACAGGCAGCTATGCTAGCATTAGCACCTAGCCGGCTATGGAAATCCATTCGCACCGCCGTCATTCATCAGCCGCGGCCTACATGCTAGCACGTCCTTCCACGCAAAAGATTGCCCGCGTTACAACGTAGAAGCTGCCCACTCACTTCAAACAAGCCAAATCAATGAATTGATTAATAAAAGCGCAACAAGAGCAGTTGTCGAGGTATATTTGCGTTACCATTGTGGGGAAAAAACCAACGCGCTGGTCCTGGCGAACATGTTACCACTATGAAGGTCAGACACGCAGAACTGCGCAGGCGCAAAGAAAAGTCGGTGGTAACGGAGGTTGCCTTCAGTGAACTCTGGAAATTGTAATCACATCAAAATTCAAGGGAAATGCCGTAAGAAGCCTTTTTTAAATCACTGTTTTTGTGTGTGTGTGTTTTTTTTGTTGTTGCCAGTGTCGCACAATGAGAAGAAGTTCAATAACTTCAATAATAAAAGCGAACATAATTATCAAAAAGCTATGTTCATTTCATTTTCACAAACAGTTATAGAAAGTCATTTGCCTTTTAAACAGGAAAACGTTTAGCCAAGTGAACTAGACCAAATTCATATATACAGGATAGCTTGCCATGCTAGAAAAATGTTTGGAATGTCTAGTAGAAATTAATCCTTGGTCTCAGACTGATTAACCTGTAAAGTTTACATTAATTTAAATTGAATTAATAAATGCTTGTTTTTTGGTGACTCAAATGTGGCGTCTATTGAATCCGATTAATTAATCATACAAATTTCAGTTACAACGAGTTTAAATGATATACGTAATTAATATTGTTTAAAAATTACGAACAGTTCTTGAATGTTACACCAAGTATCGCGTGATTCTACGGTTTTTCGCGAGGTTAGAAGACGGAAACGGTTTGTCAGTTGTGTACTAGCAGCAGTTGATTGTTCTGTCGAATTTTTAGCCTTTAAGCGAGTGTTTTTTGCTGCAGTTGTTTGGTTTTAGTTTTCGCCATGGGAAAAGCAGATTTTCTGTCGCCGAAGGCCATTAGCAACCGAATAAAATCTAAAGGTCTCCAGAAGTTGCGGTGGTATTGTCAGATGTGTCAGAAACAGTGTCGAGATGAGGTGGGATTTTGATGAAATTCGACAAAAATGGTGTTATTCTCGATAATGGACGAATTAAAGTATTTGTTTCTGCCTTTTTTATTTATTTGTTTAACAGAATGGCTTCAAGTGCCACTGCATGTCAGAGTCCCATCAGAGACAGCTGCTGCTAGCTTCAGAGAACCCTATGAAGTTCATGGACTACTTCTCAGAGTCAGTTTATCACAGACGTGATGTAAAGACAAACACATCTGAATGTTTTTAGTAAAATGGAGCACATTTGTGTCGCTTCTCTTACAGTGAGTTCAAACGTGACTTCTTGGAGCTGCTCAGAAGGCGTTTCGGTGAGAATTGTGAACCATCTGCAGATGTGTCAGGGACATCTTTGTTCTGATTGTCCTCTTCGTTATCAGGAACCAAGAGAGTTCACAACAACATTGTCTACAACGAGTACATCAGCCACCGGGAGCATGTCCACATGAACTCCACGCAGTGGGAAACTCTCACCGACTTCACCAAATGGCTCGGCAGAGAAGGTAAAACGTCACTGATCAGAAAGCATCTGGGATTTTACAGGATCTCTGTCCACTTTCTGGATTTTTGTCTCCGTTACAGATGCTGTAAAAACAGGCAGAAATGAGGAAAAGAGACCAAGAAGTTGGGATTTGTAAATAAAATTCTCTGAACTGAAAATCAGACGGACAACTTTAAAAATATAGTTCATATTTTCATGATAATTTCTATAATTTGGAGAATATCCTTCAAATGAATATCATAGCCTCCTTTTTATTTAACAGTTTTTCAGTTTATCATTTGTAAAAAAAATGTATTTTTCCTCTAAATCAATTTGCAGCTACTTTAAGCGTCGGATTAGGAGTTGGTTTTGTCTACTTACTAATAAATTTGTAAAGTTTCACATCAAATCGTGAAACTAAATGCACCTTTGGATCGTCAGGTTTGTAATAGTGAAAAGAATTTCTGCTGATCTGTTGGAAATCACCCTCAGGTTTGTGCAAAGTGGACGAGACCCCTAAAGGCTGGTACATCCAGTACATCGACCGTGACCCAGAGACCATCCGGCGCCAGGAGGAGGAGGCCAGGAAGAAGAAACAAGAGCTGGACGATGAGGAGCGGAGCGCCAAGTTCATCGAGGAGCAGGTCCGCCGAGGCCGAGACGGAAAGGAGACCGACGTGAGTGCAACAGGAAGCTGAGACCGAGCTCGGCTGCGTTCAACAAAAGTAATGCTTCTTTTTACATATTCTGCAGGAAGATCCGGTTTACACTGAGCTCAAACGTGAGAACGAGGAAGAAAAAGGTTGGTCCTCTTCTCTTGTGCAGTCATAGCTTTAGCTACAAATGTGTTTTTGTACTAAACTTCTTTTCCCTTCCAGTTGCTTTCAACCTCAGCGCTCCTGTAGCTTGCTCCTCCAAATCAGGGTACGGATCACCTCGTTGTCCTCCACATGACTAAATCTGGGGAGCGTTCTGCCTCTGATTACCTCTTTGTGTCTGCTGCTAGCTCTGCTCTGAGTGCCAGTGCTCTGAAAGCATCATCATCATCATCCTCAGTCAAACGCAAAGATGCACCCTCCAGCTCCAACTCCAAAACAGAGAAGAAGAAGAAGTCTGCACTGGAGGAGATCATTGAGGTTGCGTTTGGTGTATTTGTTTGTTTACCGTTTGGTAATCAGACGTTCTGATGTGTGGTTTGTTTGTTTTTTCCAGATGGAGGAGAGGAAGAGACAGCACTCCCCCGCTGTCAGAACCGATTACTGGCTGCAGCCAAACATCGTAGTTAAAGTCGTCACCAAGAGGCTGGGAGAGAAGTACCACAAGAAGAAGGCCGTCGTCACGGTAACAAAGTGATGTCTTTATTCCAGTTGTTTCAAAAGTATTCGTTGCTAAACTTGTTCTGGCGGCAGGAGGTCCGAGACAAATACGCCGCTGTGGTGAAGATGATCGACTCCGGCGACAAGCTCAAGCTGGACCAGAACCACTTGGAGACGGTCATACCCGCCCCAGGTCGGCCATGTTTTTAACCCAAGGAAACGTTCTAAATCACTGGATGTGAAACTGTTGATTCCATCGTGAAACTTTCTACAGGGAAGCAGGTTCTGATCCTGAATGGTCCGTACCGGGACACGGAGGCCGTCCTCGAGGGGATCGACGAGAAGAAATTCAGCGCCAAGCTCACGCTCGATTCTGTACGCATTAAAACGGCTTCATGCCCAAGTTTCACCAGATTTCATTGTTTAATTTTAAAGTGGTTTTGATCTTTGTTCTCGATCAGAAAATCGGTTCATTAATTTGATTTTCAGCCTCTTAACTCAGATCTGAATCGTTCAAGCTAACCTAGCCTCCCTGTTAACCGTAGTTGGTCACAAACACATAATTAGTCGTACTTTTTATTTGGTACACCTGTAAGAAGGCTAAACACAGCGACGGTGGCACAGGAGGTAAGTGCTAGCCCCGAAATCGGAAGGTTGCAGGTTCGAGCCCTGCTCAGTCTGTCGCTGTCGTTGTGTCCTTGGGCAAGACACTTAACCCACCTTGCCTGCTGGTGGTGGTCGGAGGGACCGGTAGCGCCTGTCCTCGGCAGCCTCGCCTCTGTCAGGGCGCCCCGGGGCAGCTGTGGCTACATCGTAGCTCATCCCCACCAGTGTGTGAATGGATGAATGACTGATTGTGTTGTAAAGCGCCTTGGGGGGTTCCAGGACTCTAGAAGGCGCTATATCAAATACAGGCCATTTACCATTTATAGAAAGACTCACAAAAAGATGTCATTTGGCTCCAAACGTGATGTTTTTGGGGTTGATTTTTTATTTCCTGTTTCACAGGGTCATCAGAAAGGAGAGAGAGTGGACGTCGCTTATGAAGATTTTTCCAAGCTAGCCTGAAGATGAAACATCTCGAGTCGTAGAACTGAGGGACTCTACTGTGTCAGAGTTCATTCCCAGATGCTTTTGTACAAAGACACTTTCAACAACCAACTAGCTTCAGAAATCAAACCGGTTTAGAAGATTATGTTGAATTTGTTTGATTCTTTTAAAAAAAACAATTTGATATTTTGTTTAAAAATGTAAATTTTGTTCAAATAAATGCAATAAATTTGCTTTCTGCTTTGTGGAAAAACCCAGGTGACATCATTAGGAAACACATCGTGGATGGTTGTGGGTTTTTAAGGATGTGTGTGTTCAGAACATCTGGAGGAAGCTGTTCAGATCTGGAACGATGTATTGGCTGTAATGTCCGTCGATGAATCCCTTTCCGCTGTTATGGATGAACCAGCAGAAGATGTTGGACCCATGCTTTCGGTCACGTCTGTAGTCTTTCTGCCAGCCCCTGACACACACACACACACACACACAGATTTAGGCTTGCAGGAAGTCTTCACCATCTTGTTTTTGACGTGTGATGGAGTACCTGGTGACGAGCAGCTTGTTGCCCTTCACCTCCATCGTGGCCTCCTTCTTCAAGGGGTTGGCTCCTTCGTGGATGTCATACAGACTCATCTCAGGTTCTTGTGAAAACTGCCCTGTGACATCACAGTTTTAGTTTCAAACTTTGGTGAAACAACTAAACAGTTTTCTGTCATAACTTATAACATTTGATTTTAGTTAATGTACCACTAGAGAGCGCTATAATTCTTTAGATCCACAGAATTAGAACTGCATGATAATTCAGTAATTCAATCCATCTATCAATAAACATGTGGTGCGATAGAAAATAAAAATGGGTCAATAAAAAAAGTTTCCTTTTTTCATTACAACCTATCACGTAGCAGCATGCTAGACTCACTACTTGCTCCTAACCAATCAAAACCACAGACTGGGGCACGCTGCGTCACCAGGCCCTCCCCTCTCAAACCAAAACAACAGGAGGCAGTGAGAAAATGGCCAGGGCTGCTCGTAAAATATTTTAAACTATTTTAAAAATGTTTTTCAATAATTATCGATCAATATAAATTTTTTTATCAATATACTTTATTTCTATATTGTCCAGCCCTACTGCAGAGCTAAGTCTTTGCTAGCGCTATGGTTGTCGATTTGTAGGCTAAAAAGCTCCAGACGTCATGTGACTCAGAGTAGACGCCATGTTGGCAGGCAGCAAAGGTAAACAAAATGAACGGGATCGGCTTGGATTTTACTCCGTCAGAGTTTACTTCACACTTTAAAACCGAAGAAATCGTTTTATATAGTCAGAAATTAAATAGACTAAACATCTCCAACCCTTACCGTGCCCCTGGGATACTTTTTAAAAACGCCAGAAGCTGTCGGAGCAGACCTGGCCAGGGAACCCCTTGGGATTTCCCCGAAGGAGCTGGCCCAAGTGGCTGGGGAGAGGGAAGTCTGGGCCTCTCACCTTAGGGTACTGCCCCCACAACCCGACTCCGGATAAGCGGATGAAAATGGATGGATGGATGGACAAATAACAGATTTAAATGTAAGTAGTTTAAATAGAGTGCTGTGCTGTTTGAATGTATAAACTGAACGCCAAGAGAAATCACTAGTCTGATTTTTTTCTGTGAATAAAATAAATATGTCAGGCAGGAGCGTCTCAGGCATAGGCGTCATTTTAACCGGGGACGCCGGGGACATGTCCCCGGCAAAATTTGTGATTGGCAGCTGTGTCCCCCCCACTTTCAAAAACGCCTGCTGATGAGGATTTTTGTTTTACCAGCTCAGATCTTATACCAGGGGTCGGCACGCTATTCCCATCAAAGAGCCATTATTACCCGTTTCCCACGGTAATTTTGGACGGACCTTAATAAGCAGTGACTTAAGTGAAGCAGGCAGGTCGCGCTAGAAAATTTCGTTTAAAAAGACGTCATAAATGTGTTCCCACGTCATTTTTATTACTAAAATATGAAGTAAAAACTCACAATTTAATTTTCATTCATTTGTCATTAATATGTAGTCTACACCCGTGCGTTAAGTGGACCATCTTCCAGTGAACGCACAGCATCCAGTCCACCTCTCCAAATGCGTAAAATGTGCATCAGCCGCTAGTTAGGCCGTCGCGCACCGTCAGCTGATCAGCCCAGACAAGAGCAGAGCAACTAGAGAAAGAATAGAGGATAATTGTGTCTGGATGTGGATGGAGATTACATTTTACAGCAGCCTGATCATCATTTAAATACGTAAACCATCACCTGTCTTCTAGTCCACGCTATCAGCATTATTTTATATTTTAATTGGTGTGTGTGTGTGTGTGTGTGTGTGTGTGTGTGTGTGTGTATGTGTGTGTGTGTGTGTGTGTGTGTGTGTGTGTGTGTGTGTGAGTGAGTGAGTGAGTGAGTGAGTGAGTGAGTGAGTGTGTGTGTGTGTGTGTTTTCCACTTCAAACACTGGTCTAACCAACCAGACCAGCGTGTCCAGTAACACATTAATGTTACAATTAAACAGTTTCACTTCATGTAGGCTAGGAACGTTTCACCTGCCGTGGCCCGACCGCTTCTGCTCCACATAAACTTTGTGCGTGATCAAATGTCTCTACGCTTCATGCGGAAGACGGGAACAAGCGCTGTTCAGCCAAAGTTTCATGATTTCATAAAAAGAACATTTTTCCAAGTGACACATCCCTCAGAGAGACCGGGTTTCCAGAACGCTTCAGTGGGAGGAAATCATCGCATGCGCGTGGTTCTGCACTGCGCTGCACTGCGAACCCCAGATCTTCAGCTCACTGTCCACCGGGTGCGCTCCGAGCCGCGCTGAACACAGTGTCCAGTATAAAGAGCTCTGATGTTCTGATGGGAATATTTTACCTCCGCGTGTGCGTTAACGATTAAAATGTCAGCTCATCCATGAGCATCAGTGTGCGTCGGGGTAATTTTTTCAAACCAAGCAACATCCTTGAGTTCATCTGTCAAAATAAACAGTCAAATGGAAATATATGTAACCTGCCGTTTAACTGTTTTGCCTTCTTGTGAAGATTGTTGCAAAGAGAAACAATTAAACTTGATTAACCCCAGAGCCACGCAGAGAACCATGCAGTGCGCATGCGGGAAGATTCCTCCCACTGAAGCAAGTGTTTTCCAAACCCTGTCTCTCAGAGAGACTTGTCACTTAGAAAATGTTCCCTGATGATGAAACTTTGGCTGAATAGCGCTTGTTCCTGGCTCCAATGTGGCGACACATCCAGGAGCCGTCTGAGGAGAAGCCCAGAATCTCACATCCTCTTCAGCTCATAAAGTGCCGATATGATTACGCACAAGCATGACCGGTCAACCACCGCAGACCGGGTTGGACCTGTTCAGGTTTACGCAGACAATCTTTACATTTAGAATTGGCATACAGGTGTAAAATTAATGCAGTAAAATATAAAGCATTTTATTTAAATATCCATTTATTATTTTACAAGCACAGAGAGTTGCATCAGATGGATGGAAGAGCCGCATGCGGCTCCAGAGCCGCGGATTGCCGACCCCTGTGCTAGCCTACTTTATTGTCCCCAGCAATTTTTAAACCCCACTCAAGTGTATGGTTATTTTCCCCAGCAATTCTGAAAACAAACTGACGCCCTTGGTCTCAGGATCTGTATGAGATCTGACTCGGTGAGACAGAAATAGCAATCCAAAGTGCTTTTTATGTGTGATCTGACAATTGATCAACCATTGCTTAAAAATGAAATACAGCATAGCCGGTTAATTGCTGTGATCATAAAACACGTAAACGGCAGCACGCAGATTTCACGAGGCAACGTTTTATGTGATGTTTACTTGTTGCTATGAGTAATAAGACAGAAAAAGCCACGCCAAAATAAGTTTAGGAAGCCCACTAAGAATCGTAATAAAAGCATTTAAAATAAATACCATACACAGTTGAGGAAACGTTGGTTTAAGTACCTGATATGAAGTGGTTGCTGCATAAGCGAAAACCTTTGCTCTCGGGGTTCCACAGCTTCATTTCAGCCCGGTCACTAGCGCGTTTTACTACAATGATCCAACGTTTGCGGCATTCCGGATCTTGGGGAATCCTGTAGAAGGCTCTTCCTTTATCTGTTCTGGCATCCTGGGGTACAACAGGAATCTACCATATTTCCCGTTTGATTGAATTTTCTGACAATAACAAATAGCCTAGCTGCGTGCTTCTGCCTGCCAAGATGGCGCCGTTTCGATTTGAACTGTTGCATGCCAGGAGAAGTGACATCAACTCCCGAGCTCTATAGTGATGGGAATTGCGCCTCATTTTGGAGAGCCGGTTCTTTTGGCTCAGCTCACCAAAAATAGCCGGCTCTTTCGGCTCCCAAGTGACTCCTCAGATGTTCTGTTGCGTAAAGTATCTTTATCACCAAAAATAATGCTAAACTATATGTAAAATGATTTAGAAGAAGAAGAAGAAGAAAATATCATTTCTATAGCGCCTCTCAAGATAAACATCACGGGGCGTCGTCGTCTTCCTCCGCTTATCCGGGTCCGGGTCGCGGGGGCAGCATCCCAACTAGGGAGCTCCAGACCGTCCTCTCCCCGGCCACCTCCACCAGCTCCTCCGGCAGGATCCCAAGGTGTTCCCGGACCAGATTGGAGATGTAACCTCTCCAACGTGTCCTGGGTCGACCCGGGGGCCTACTGCCGGCAGGACATGCCCGAAACACCTGGAGGTGTCCAGGAGGCATCCTGACCAGATACCCAAACCACCTCAACTGACTCCTTTTGATCCGGAGGAGCAGCGGTTCTACTCCAAGTCCCTCCCGAATGTCCGAGCTCCTCACCCTATCTCTAAGGCTGAGCCCGGCCACCCTACGGAGGAAACATTTCAGCCGCTTGTATTTGCGATCTCGTTCTTTTGGTCACTACCCAAAGCTCATGACCATAGGTGAGGATTGGATCGACCGGTAAATCGAGAACCTGGCTTTCTGGCTCAGCTCCCTCTTCACCATGACAGATCGGCTCAGCGTCCGCATCACTGCAGACGCCGAACCAATCCGCCTGTCGATCTCCCGATCCCTCCTACCCTCACTCATGAACAAGACCCCGAGATACTTAAACTCCTCCGCTTGAGGTAGGATCTCTCTCCCGACCCGGAGTTGGCAAGCCACCATTTTCCGGTCGAGAACCATGGTCTCAGATTTGGAGGTCTTGATCACGAGGCGCTTCACAAAAACAAAAAATGTAAAAATATAAAAAAGAATTAAGGAAATTATTAAAAATATATTTAAAATGAGCAAAAAATAGACAATTGTGATAAAAGAAATGTTAAGAAAAAGAGAGAGTGAATAGGAAAGAGGGAAATCAGTGGATCCTGAGGAAGGTGGAATAGGTCAGGAGGTGGGGATTTAGTAATCTAAAAAAATGCAGTATATCAAATATGTATAATTTATATGGATTTATTAACTGAGCACTTTAAGAAATCTCAATTTTCTGACTGCTGTCGCTCATTTTCTCCCCATCTTCGTTGCACTCTCTCTCGCTCACCTTTTTCCTCCCCCCTCTCTCATCTCCCTCCACCTGCATGTGCTCTGCTGTGTGTCTTGGGGTGTGTCCGAATCCACGGGAAGGATGCTTGTAAGAGTGCATTTTGAGGTTGATGACGTCACA